CTTGTTGACAAGCTTGCTACAAGCCTGTTGGGAACACAACTTGTTGACAAGCTTGCTACAAGCCTGTTGGGAACACAACTTGTTGACAAGCTTGCTACAAGCCTGTTGCGAACACATCTTGTTGACAAGCTTACTACAAGCCTGTTGCGAACACATCTTGTTGACAAGTTGTGAGATTTTTACGTGTGTTCGTGTAACAAATCCAAGCAGGTGGGTACGAAGCTGACAATCCGTGGTTACAATGCTTATGCCCAATCAAGGGAACACGTTAGAATGCAGTAACAGTGTTTTTAAATTTAACGATTGTGTATGGACCGCATGGTCAACCCAATTTTACAAGGAAACTGATTGCTATTTTCAGTCCAGACGAAATTTGCGATCAATTAATTAGGTAACATTTGGGACTTCGGTGGTGATTATCGCTACGGACTCCGAAAGTCGTGGGTTTTCTCCGGGTTGCATGCTCTGGTTTTCTCCCACAGGGAAAGTTGACAGGGTGGATTAGGATAAACACAGTTAAGAAAGTACTATCACAATTGTTGTAAAGATAAAATAGTCTAGGCTAAGTATGTAAGTAGGTAAGTACATAATACTTGATGTAAAGCACATTTGATGATATCCACATGTGAATTTGCGCCATAGAAATGAAATGGTTGGAATTGTAACTTTGTCGGGAAAATGTCCGACCGTTATTCACGAATACCTCCAATTTCACAAACCATTACAGGTTTCATCCGAACACTCTCGTTTCCTGCTTTAGTAAAGCCTAGTTTCCATTTGGTCGTTAGTTGTCGTTGGCACGACAAGCGGTAGATGTGAAATAGTCTAATATCAATAGTCTTTTTGTGTGTTATATGCAAATCAATCTTAATGATTGCAGAGTTTTATAAAGTTTTGTTGACACTCTATTATATCAGCCACTTGTCGTGCCAGCGACAACTAACGACCAAATGGAAACTAGGCTTAACGCCCATACATAAAGGGTCTGCTCTCACTGGGGAAAAAGTGCAGGACTGATGGGAACTGTGAAGATTTTCACCAGTCTAATTAGCTATTTATATGGCAATCATGCATAAGAGCTGAAGCTGTTAAGAGTTTAATTATTAGTTTCGCTGAAATGACAAAGATTTAAATATCACATCATGTATAATGTTGTACATTTTTGAAGCAAATGCTACACAAAGATCTTGACGTCATTTCATAAACAGGATCTCGAACAGGGTGATGAGTTTTAACGTTTGTCCTCGACAACACACGTTTTGACGAAGTAGACACCCTACAGTATTTAAAGTTTTGAGATTGCTTAGGTGTTCAAGCTTAGTGCTTGGCGAATATTGTTACGGCTTTCATCTTCATGGAAACCTAACTCCTGCACCACGCTAAGGACGTCAAGCACAATAGATGGATACTTGTGAAGAAAAATATTTTTATCCAGATCTTGTTGTAGCTGTAACGACTTATCCTGCCTGTGAGAGTATGTATTGCGAATGAATCTTATCAAATCGATTAACTTGTTCGTTCTGTATTTCTTCGATTTCCACGTTTTGATCATTTCGTCATACATGTCTTTCAAAACCACATTCCAATATGCAAAACTGACACTTTGGCCAGTTTGTGTCATCTGCAAGCGTTGCTCCAATGCAGAGTTGGGATGATTTGCACGCCTTTCAGCCTCTGGCTGATCGCCAACCGCTTTGAGGAATTCAATCTTTTTGGTCTCGCTCCAAAGAAAAGGATGCTGCTTGAGCATGTTTGCTGGTGGTCGCTTGAATGGATCTCTTCTCAAAAGATTCTCGAGAAAACTAATAGCTTCTGGATGAAGTGACTTGTCGAGATTTAACCGTACTTCTTCGATGTTTCGCTCGATAACGTGTGCTCGTTCTTCACTTCCTGTAGCAAAAGGATGTTTGCCCAGGGTGAGAAGATAATGAATTACCAGCCCCATGGAAAATAAATCGGACTTTTCGGTATGGTCTCTTGACTTCATACAGACCAGCTCTGGCGCCATCCAACATCGCGTACCGGGTGCCATGGCAATACCACTCCCCCTCGTTGACGTCATCGTTGAAAACGTAGACATGTTTTTGGTGAGGCCAAAGTCGGCGATCTTAAATTGCAAACATTGATCTGTTGTATACAGGATGTTTCCTGGTTTGAGATCGCGATGAATGTACTTCTGTTCGTGAAGGAAGGCTAAACCATCTATAATCTCTTTGGTAACCCGCACAGGTATTGCTGGATTCTCCCTCAGAACTTTATTGTCACCGTTGTTTGTGACAAACTCATTAAGATCACCGTCCATCAGATCTAGACAAAGGTATTGAAAGAAAGAATCTTCAACAAATTCGTGATATTCGATGATATTTTCACACTTTCCAGATATACGAAGCAAGGTCGTGATCTCTCGTTTGATCTCTTGGGGATTTATCTTTGCCTTATCAATACGTTTCAAGGCGAACGCTCGGCATTCGATCGTTCCAGATGTACTTTCAACATTCTCGTCTTTGATTGCAACAAAAATATTGCTGAATGCTCCATTGCCAATGGAATCTTGATTGGAGTAACGATACTTCTCTATGACAGTGACTGGACAATTGGGGTCAGTTAAACGTTGTGCGTTGTTCAAATGACGGTTCGGACACGATCGAAGCTTTCGTGTTATGTTCTTGGACGTTGCCCCTTTCTCCATAAGCATTTCTGCACATTTCTTATAAAGGTTTGGACATTTCCCCTGAAGCTCGTAGGTGATATCTAGAGGGGTATTTCCCATTAAATCAACTGCATTCACATCCACCTTGTGCTTCAGAAGTATTTCGAGGCTATGAAGCATTTCCGCTTCTTCAACGATTACATGTTTGTTGTTAACGCCCATATTGAGTAGCGCGTGGAGAAACCCCTCACTTCTTCCGTTCTGTCGTTTCATGTCACTTGGTTTTGCATCCCTCAGTACTGTACGAAGTAATTCCACCAATAATAAACGCAGCTGGTGAGTATTGTACAGAAAAGAGTCATTTTTCTCTATTGGCTCCAACTTGTAGGAAGCAAGTCTAATGGAAATTAGTAGTATACTGATAACGACGGTACCTTCCCGGTCAGGAATCCAAGCCAGTGTAGGCATTGAATATTTTTCTAAAATTTCAGTTAAGTTTTTCAGTAGCTTTATAGCTTTGTGAACAGATCTTTTGTTCATTGTGCTTAATGAAACATTATCATTCAGCTCCGAGTAGGCGGAGGTCTCCGCAAAGAAGAGGTCGGCTGAATACTTCAAGATAAACAAAACAGGAGTTTCATAACTATCATTTCTTTCCCAAGAAAGTCTGCCTTCCCAATCCAAAACATCATAAACGGACGGATTAAGAGCATAGTGCAGTGGCAAATCACCAAAGTTGGTCGGAACTCTTAAACTTGCACCAAACTTGAGTACCTTTTGGCAAATTTGGACTTCATTGAAATTTTCTTCAATCGGTGAAGCCAACGCAAACTCATGCATGACCGTGTTGCCACTTGTGTCCTGTGCTTTCACCAACAAGGACGTTTGGGCCTGCGATAATTCCTCGGCAAGTAGATCTAATAGTTCGACTCTATCTTCGACGAACCATTTCGTTGCAGGTACGTGCTCTCTCGTGGAAACATCATTCGAAAAGCACATTGCACCGGTATGCCATTTCGCTTTACATCTACCCATAATTATATGCAGAAAATTCTGTCCATCTTTGTTTGTCGCTAACGGGTCAACACCAGCTTCCAACAAATCTTTCACTAAGGTAGAACAATCGTAGCTAAGACCAGGTAAGGCCGCGATAAAGTGTAGTGGCGTATTACCGTTTCCGTCCTTGCAATTTCCCAAGTCATTGAAATTATCTTTCATTATCTGACAACATTCAGTTAGAAGCATCCCTCGATATTTTGCGACTGAGGAAATATTCACCCCATTTTCTTTCAAATATGTGGTATTAAATGTTTTGTAATCGAACTCCTCATCACTGTTGCTATCGCCAATATCTTCGTTGCCATCGTCGCCATTGGATATAGAAATTTTCCTTTCACCTTTTAAACCCGGCATTTCTTTTATGAATTCAAACCAACCTCGACCTGTTTTATTACCAAAGCCAAAGAAATCCATCGGTCGATGGCCAGTTATGTCTTTAAACTTCTTGCTTAATACATCATACTTGATTTCATTCGCCTCGAACACGATATTATAAAGCAACTCTTGTGTGACTTCAATGAGAAATTCGTTAATACCAGATTTCTTTGCAGACTTTGACATTGCCATTGTATTGCATATACGAACAGTCAACAGCTTTCCAAGATTAGAGTTTTTGTTATAATACTTTTCGGTTTTTGTTGGAATCGAATCGCAAGTCGCAACTGTTTTCACATATCTATGCGCTGATCTATGGAGTATGGAATCAAACAATGCCAGTCTGTCCCATATCTGTCCCAGTGTTTCCACTCCAAAAAAATAATTTCCTTCTCCATAACCCGAAATTTCCTTTTTGCCTGCAAAATTTCCTTCCAAGAATCTCTAAATATCCTTACATTTTTCCTTCAAAATTTGTATCAAAATTGACAGATTTACCTGTTAATTAACATCTCAACTCGAGTATTGAAACACATTATATTAATTTATAGCAGATAACTAAAAAATCAGCCATCTTCGCCCCTCAATCGGTTGAAATCAGCTCATCTTCGCCCCAGGGGGGCAAAAAGTCATCTTCGCTCCGGGGGGACAAAAAGCGTAATAATTGGGGGCTACTTGCTCTGGGTGCGAAAAGAGATTCCATAACTGTGTCTTGCATCTCTCCCCCCTGGACACACACACACAAGAAACCCCTAGGGTCTTTCCTGCCCACGCTAAGTAGAGTCTGAGAAATAATACCCTGGGTACAACGTTTGATTGTTATTTCAATATAGGGATTCTGGAGTCCTGTCCTAGATACATAGTTGCCAACTTTGAAAAAAAAAACATCTGTGAGATCTCACTTTGGGGGGCCTACGAGGCGCGCCACCATGGTTGGTGCCGAGCAGAAAATTTTGAAAATTTGGAGTCTCTAGATCGTTGGAAATGGCATTTTCAGAGTCTTCTTTTGCACAAAATTGTATGAAAATTGCCTTGTTCTTAGAAATTATGAGATAAAATAGAATTTCCTTCTCATTTCCCTCCTTGTGACAATATTTCCTTCCAAATGCCATTTCCTTCCAAATTTCCTTCCAAAGGCCAAAATTTCCTTCTGGAAGGAAATTTCCTTCCAAGTGGAAACGCTGGTCTGTCCCATTGAACTATAAATACACATTGAACTATAAATACACATCGTTTATTTATAGTTCAATGGTCTGTCGAGTCTGTGATGCCAGTGAATATTTCCACCAGTGCTTCCATTTGCAAGGAAATTTCCTTGCAAAAGGAAATTTTGGCCTTTGCAAAAAGTTGGGAAGGAAATTATTTTTTTGGGAGTGGAACTGTGGCACAGAATAAAGATTAGTACCAGAAGGGCCACTGAGTGGTGCAACGTGTCGCCATTTTCTTATGCAAAAATATGCAGTTGACTGGCCAGAAGGCGGGGCCTCCAGCCAATACAGTGCATTTATTGGGCAGAATATGTAATCGACTGGCTAGGAAGGTGGCGGCCAGGGGGACAGAAACTTGAAAGCTTCCGACGTAAGTGGCCCTTCTGTGTCGATCTTTATTCTGTGACTGTGGAAGCAATTTAGCAGTTTGCGCCCACTGAGCTTTGGTTGCAGCCCGTTGCGCGAATTTTTCGCTATACAATCTGCTTACAAATTTACATGTCGGTTTATATTTTGGTCAGGAGGCAGAGGTGAATTAAGTGCAAGGATATCCAGGGATGAGCAAGCAGCAAGCAATCAAAATTGTACGAAAAGCACTTTATGCATCTGCTTACCTCAAAAGATCAATATCATCTTCAGCAAAGTCAGATTTATACCAAAGAAATATCTTCGATAATGTGACCTGTTAGTGGTAATAGAGATTTTGACCTGTTAGTATTAGAATAGACACATACTAACTTCACAACCAAAATGTTATGAAAAAATGACAAGGAAACCCCAAAAATAATTACTCGGAAGTTGTTATAGATCTGCAAACAAATTGTAACAAGGTTGTTGTCAAGCCGATATCGGGATGTGTTCGCACTGCTTGTTCCAAGTTGTGACAAGTCTGGAACAAGTTGTTATCACTTTGTTACAAGGTTGATGACGGTAGCAAATTTGCTAGCATTATAAGGTTGTAATGAATGAATGCATTGGACTTGCTGCAACAACTTTGCAATATTAGTCTTATAATATCAACAAGGTTGTTACAACTGTTAACAACTAGTTGTTCCAAACTTGTTGACAACTCGGGACATTAGTGCGAACACAACTTGTTGATGGCTTGTTGGCAGACAAGATGTGAGATTCTGGCGTTTGCACCCTTACCCGTTTAACATTCATGTCAACATGAACTTCTTGAGAACAAAAGTTTTCAGCTGCAACTTTCAAACCACGCTCAAGATTCGTCGTTGAATAAACATTGATTGCAGGACAAGACTGAAGTGAACGAATATTAATTATCAGATAGCTCTATTAATTGGATAGCTCTATCAGTGATCTAGTATATATATGAATAGGAGGAAACCTAAACTAACTTCATTTATACTGGATACCTGTATCAGTTCTAAACTGTTTTTCCCCTGAAGGTTATTTCTGGAGGAAACCTAAACTAAACTGACTTTATTTATACTGGATAGTTCTATCAATTTTGTCTAAACTCTTTCTTAGAGGTCCAATAACCACTGCCATATTGATGCAGTATTACTATAGGAAGAAACCAAGATCCTGTAGACAGCCAGTGACGCCAGTCTGGTAGGCACATTTCGCAGAGTGCCAGGGTGTTCTGGATCTCGACACTCAACCTACCTTGGCTCCACAAACCAAACCAAAGTGTATCCGAGGATCAACACTTTGTAGTGAATACTGGAGACGAGGGTCACTGTCGTTGAATAAAGGATTGGGACTAGATGGGTGCGGTCTGTTGCCTGAAATATATTCACAAGAAGATATTTATCAATCATCTTTCATTTTTAATCCAATACAAACTAAATCCAGATTCTTAAATTTATGCAAATTTTCATAAATAATAGCCTTTTATGGCTTAAATATGCTTGTATTGTTTTAGCTTTTGTTACACATTTCATCAGCTTTCATATCAATGACTTTAGCCCATTAAGTTGCATTAAAGTTGCATTGCTCCACACGATTTTACACAAGGGGAGAGCACTTATAGCACTGAATGGGTGGGGAGAGCACTTATAGCACTGAATGGGTTAATTAACACATTACTGGATGGCTATTAACATACTCCACCAACTGTATTCTTGCAGGGCAGCTAATTCACTGATTAAGCTGCAATGCGCCCAAATTATTATAATAATTTTACTCTGTCTAATGAGCCAAACAATTTATTTGTTAAGGGAAGAGTCTTGTGCTTTAGGGGGTTATAAAATCACTGCAATTACCTCTGAGAATTCCATGTTCGATGTCATCTAAAGTAAATACATGACCACCGATGTTATATGCGATTGATTTCCAAAAATTTTTCACACCTAACACTGATGATGGCACACCTTGTTCACATATCCTGTGAATTGTCAGAGCATTATAAATATCTATGATGTATGTGTTAAGATATGATTCATTACTTGCATGTACCTTTTTATCCACATTGTATTAGGGAAACAAGTATAATATTTATATATGAACCATCTCTGACAGATAATTTGACCATTGAGCTGGCCAACATTTCCCTAATTAACAAGTAAAATCAAGCAAGAAAATAGACCATCCTAGTCCAATACCAGTTACTGTAAGGGGCATTGTCCCCTGATGCGCCCTGCTTTTGTTATTTTACTCTGTCTATATTAAATACCAGCTAGCATACTTTACTTGCATGTCAAGGGGAGAATGCTGCTGCTGAAATGGGTTAATCATTACCGGTGATGAGTTGTGATATCAAGTTAATGCAATACAATTGAGTATAAATTATTGCATGATTGATGTCAGGAGGGTATTATGAAAAGGATCATTATTGCATACTATTATTGCACTGGGCAATTGACAGCAATTGGCTTCAATAATAGACAGGCCAATCAGAAGACACGTTGTGACTATAAATGTATGGTAATTCTTGATATATTCATGTGTTCAACCACATTCAATTCGTAATTTCGTCATGATTAACCAATTGGGCGCCAGCGATCTTCCCTTGGCGAGTAAATCGTCAAGTGTTAGACAAAGTAAAATAATAAATTAGGGCGCCTTAATTAGTTAATTGGGGCGCATTGACACTTAATGGGAATTAATTAAAATTCATAACAAAAGATACTAATGAAAAATGCCATTTTTTGCTGATCTGTAAGTGTAGCCAAATCGACATGAACCAGCCTCGAAGATTCCTCAACATATTCGGCAAATATTTCACTAGTTCGTATCCCATTGTAGTCAACAGACTTCCCATCATCGCACATGAATTTCCCCTTAATTTGTAACATAAGTTTTTGAAGGCGCTTTGAAATATCCTCCCCATATTTTTCAGCCAGAATTTCACAGGAAATTTCCGCATTTTGGTTAATGTTGAGAACGCGTATTTCTGCCATTGGACAGGAATTAATCAAAACAAATTATAAAAGACATAAAATAGAGCTTGAATTTTTTATTTTGTGAAATTTTCCACGCATTTCTTGTCAATTTTTTCTTATATTAATTATTTAATTCAGTATCCGCGCAGTTCAGATATATTTTGAGATCATCGCAACCTGTCTGCAGGCAGCTCAATTGCCTGAGCAGGCGAGAACAGTCCGCCTTCAAGATTTCGCCATTTTCCGAACTCTTATGAGTTTTCTGGAACGAAAATGGTAAATTTTACATAAATTTCTCAATGTTTTGCCATTTTTACACCGCTATGACCTACTCACGTTTGTGTATTCTTGTAATTTCCTAGAGCTTTTTAGGTTTTGGCCAATCGACGGACATATTTATAGATTTAGAAGACTCGGACAAGCGAAAGCAAATCGAAGTACGAAACGAAGAAGGGCGCAAAGAGAAATTGCTCTTATATTATGATGGAGAAACTGTCAAGGGAAAGGTATGTCCCAGGTTTAAACTGGGCTTTAAAAAGCTGCTATATATAGCTAG